TTATTTAGTTGTGGGTGAGTTAGTGGTTTTTATGAAGAGTCTTGAATTGATAAGCAGACAGTGTTTCTTTTATATTCACAGGTAATGAATTCCAGATTTTTGGGCCTTTTATGTGAATTGCGTTTTTACATAGTATGAGATGGACACAAGGAACGTCAAAGAGTGATCTATGCCTTATGTTATGGTCATGTGTTCTGTTGAGGTTGGTAAGGAGAAGTTTGAGGGGAGGATTTATATCCAAGTTAAGTGTTCTATGTACGTAGTAGGTATAATAACAAGTATGGATGTTTTGTACGGTGAGTAAGTTTAGAGTTTTGAATATTGGTGGAGTATGCTGCCTGTAGTGGGAATTTATCATTCTGACTAGGACAAATATACACTGCACACGAGAAAAAAGAAGTCCCATTGGGGATCTTCATTGATTTATGTAAAGCTTTTGATACAGTTGACCATGATTTGCTGCACATAAAATTATCGCACTATGGTATAAGAGGGCACTCCCTCAACTACCTAGTCATACCTCAGCAACAGAAGCAAATGTGTACACAAATGGAGCAAACTCTTCCACACAACCAATTACAGTTGGTGTCCTACAGGGAAGTGTCCTTGGCCATCTTCTCTTTCTCATTTACATAAATGACCTACCAAATGCATCACAGCTACTCAAACCCACACTATTTGCAGATGACACAACATATGTCTTCTCTCACCCAAGCCCAGTCATACTAGCCAATATTGCAAATACTGAATTGCAGAAAATATCTACCTGGATGATGATTAACAAACTTACTCTCAATATTGACAAAACCTACTTCATTCAGTTTGGGAACAAAACTACAGATGTTCCTCTTAACATAATGATAAATGGATCACCTATCACAAAGCTCACAGAGGGAAAATTCTTAGGAATCCACTTTGATAACAGACTCAAATTTCTAACACATGTACAACAAATTTCCAGGAAAATCTCCAAGACCGTAGGCATACTATTGAAGATACAGTACTATGTTCCACAGTCAGCTCTCCTGGCCCTATATCACTCACTCATTTACCCCTATCTCATTTATGGAATTTGTGCTTTTGGCTCAACATCAATAAATCATCCCAGACCATTAACCCGTAAACGGTCCAAGCAGATCTATGTTCACATGTGTAGTGCTACAAAAGTAGATCTAAGTTTTTTACATATTTTAAAATATAACAAAAAAAAGTAGATCAAAGTTTTTTACACATTTTCAAATGTAGAAAAACAAAAAAAAAGATTACTTTTTTACATACTTTCAAATGTTGAAAAAACGTATATATACGTTTGGACCGTTTACAGGTTAATTACCCAACAAAAGGCTGCAGTCAGAACAATAACAAATTCCCACTCCAGGCAGCATACTCCACCAATATTCAAAACTCTAAACTTACTCACCATAAAAAATATCCATACTTATTATTGTGCCTACTACATGTATAGAACACTAAACTTGGATACAAACCCTTCCCTTAAACTTCTCCTTACCAACCTCAGCAGAACACATGACCATAACACAAGGCACAGATCACTCTTTGATGTTCCCTGTGTCCATCTCACACTATATAAAAACTCAGTGCACATAAAAGGCCCAAAAATCTGGAATTCATTGCCTGTGAATATAAAAGAAACACTGTTTATCAATTCAAGACTCTTCTTAAAAACCACTTACTCACCCACAACTAAATAAATACTGAAGAACTGTATCACATAAATGTATAACCTGTGACCCTATCAAATTATGTTTGTTTTAATTACATTACCTAATAGAATACTCCATTCTCTTGAATGCACAGTAACTCATCTAATGATCATATGACCTGTTTCTGCACTAAAAATCATTGATTTTATTCAATTTGATCGAATTATATTATACATTGTTATGCTACAAATTTGTTACTATAATGCTTCTTATTTGAAATACTCATTTGTACAGTGGACCCCCGGTTATCAGCCGTAATTCGTTCCAGAAGGTCGGCCGATAACCGAAATGGCCGAAAACTGAATTAATATTTCCCATAAGAATTAATGGAAATACAATTAATCCATTCCAAACAAAAGTATTCACAAAAAAAAAAAAAATTTTAACAATTATGTAAGTATTACATACCTTTATTGAAGGCTAATGCTGGCTTCAGGAAGATGGGAAGGAGGAAAGAGGGAGGAGTTAGTGTTTAGAAGGGGAATCTCCCTCCATAAAGACTTTAGGTGGCAAAACCTTCTCTGGGGTTACTTCCCATCTCTGTCTTTTAATGCCACTAGGACCAGCTTGAGAGTCACTGGACCCCTGTTTCACAAAATAACTGCCCAGAGTGCTGTGTTTCTGGCATCTCTTTAAGATTTCCCTGAAGTGGGACAGAGTTTTGTCACTAAACATGTTGCAGATATGGCTTGTTTCAGCTTTGTCAGGGTGGTGTTTTTCTACAAAAGCTTGCACCCTAGTCCACATTGCACACACCTCTTTAATATTTGAAGAAGGCACCTCCTTCACTCCCTCTTCCTCCTCCTCTGAAGCAAGTTCCTCAGCTGCTGTCTGTTGCTGTTCGAGATGAAGCTCTTGCAGCTCTTCAGTGGTTAGCTCTTCCCTGTGGTCCTCCACCAACTCTTCCACATCCTCGCCACTCACCTCCAACCCCAGGGACTCTGCCAGTGCCACAACAGAGTCCACATGGTCAGCAGGGTCAAGGTCAGCCTCAAACCCTTCAAAATCCCTCTCTTGGACACAATCTCGCCACAGTTTTCTCCAAGCAGAGTTCAAAGTCCTGGAAGTTGCTCCCTCCCAAGCCTTACCTATAAGGCTTATGCAATGGAGGATAGTGAAGTGATTCCTCCAGAACTGTCTTAGGGTCAACTGAGTGTCCGATGTCACTTCAAAGCACTTTTGAAACATTGCTTTTGTGTAGTTTTTTGAGGTTAGAGATGACCTGCTGGTCCATGGGCTGGAGGAGAGGAGTGGTGTTAGGAGGCAAGAACTTCACTGTGATGAAACTGAAGTCCCTAAACACTTGGTCTTGCAAGTCTGGAGGATGTGCAGGAGCATTGTCCAGTAACAGGAGGCACTTGAGTAGCAATTTCTTTTCCAGGAGGTATTTTTTCACACTTGGGCCAAGCACACAAATTTGCCTTGTGACTCATGCCTTATGATTAGCTTTCCACATCACACACAATCTATTCTTCATGACATTGTTTTTCTTGAACACTCTGGGATTTTCTGAGTGATACACGAGTAAAGGCTTCACTTTGAAATCCCCACTAGCATTACCACACAACAAAAGAGTAAGCCTGTCTTTCATAGGCTTGTGTCCTGGCAGTGCCTTTTCCTCCTGGGTAATGTAGGTCCTGTTTGGCATTTTCTTCTAAAACAGGCCTTTTTCATCACAATTGAACACTTGTTGGGGTTCAAATCCTTCAGCCTTTACATAGTCCTGGAATTTGTGAGCACACTTTTCAGCCGCACATGTCAGAACTTGCAGCCTCACCATGCCTTACAACACTGTGTATGCCATTACACTTCTTTAATCTATCAAACCATCCTTTGCTGGCCCTAAATTCACAAACTATAGCACTTATTCCAGACATTTTCTTTGCAAGATCCTCATGCAACTGCCTTGCCTTCTCACAAACAATAGACTCCACAACACTGTCTCCCGCTAATTCTTTTTCCTTAATCCACAATAATAATAACTTTTCTATCTCTTCCATTATTGGTGGCCTTTGTTTAGTTAGACAAGTTACTCCTCTTTCAACATTAGCATCTTCGATTTGTTCTTTCTTTGCCAGGATGGATGTAATTGTTGATTTATTCTTGCTGTACATCCTGGCAAGTTCCACCACCTTCATACCACTTTCAAACTTTTCTATCGCTTCATGCTTAAATTCCATGGTGTTTCTCACTTTCTTTACCACAGGAACTTTCTTTGGAGCTATGGTTACTTATTTCACAGTTGCACTGCAAAAATAACACAAACTACAGTGGGAAATAAGCCAAATGTTTGGATGTATAAGCAGAAGCTTCCTCAGCCACTGAGAGGCAAAGCCCCAGCCGGTGGATGGACGCATCCCAAACAGCTGATAACCGAGCGAACGGCCGATAACCGGGCGCCGAAAAACCGGCCGATAACCAAACCAGCCGATAACCGGGGGTCAACTGTTGTAATTTGTTAACTATAATTTTTCCCACTGAATATATCATTGCTTAGTTAATCTTAAGTTGCTTTTAAGCCTGACCATAATGCTCTGCATACAAGGGGCTTTTGGCACGTACACCCAATCACTATATTTCTTTGTACAACTATGTATCATGTCCAAATAAAAAATAAATAAATAAATAGTAGTACATAGATATAATGTTTTTAATAATGTTTATTCTATCCTTCCCCCCCCCCTGCTTTTTTTGGGGACTCCATGATCATATCCTAACATCTGTCTTCCCACATTTCACTGCCACACTTTTTATCTTCCTTCCCCCATCACACACTTTATCCCCTCCCCCTCACAGCTGCACTTCCCCTCCTCTCACAAACCATACTATACCCCCTTTCCCTACAACCACACTGCCCCCCTCCCTCAACCACACTTTATCCTTCTACATTTTCCTTTACTTTCACCCCGTTAATAAAATTCATGTGTTACTCATCATATAAATATGAACTGTTATTGTAAACTAGATTCAAGCTACTCATTGCGTATTATTCGTATGTACCTGGCAGCAGTCATGTATGTGGCAGCAGTAATGTATTCAGTGTAATTGTTATAGACTTTCTTTTTTTCAACAAACCGGCCATATCCCACCGAGGCAGGGTGGTCCAAAAAGAAAAACAAAAGTTTCTCTTTTTAAATTTAGTAATTTATACAGGAGAAGGGGTTACTAGCCCCTTGCTCCCTTGTTATAGACATCAATTTATTATAACGTTAGCACAGTAGCACACTTTAAGTTGATGCAGCTGGAAATTAGTTGTTGATAATTCTTTATGATCAGTCCGCAGGGAATCAAGTGGTGGAATATATGCAGAAACTTTGTAGTAATGATGTCAACATGCCAGTTGGTGGAGTAATTCATACTGGCATGCAGAATGAACGTGGTGGCTTTGAAAATGACTGTCTCCTTGTAAGAAAAACAGATAACAGGTGAGGTCTAGTATTATTGTTTTATACTAAGAAGTAGTTCATGAAGAAATTTCATAATTATATTAACATTTAGTATAAGTCAGTAAAAGCTAATTTAATTTTTTTTGTATGTATAAATCTTAAATGGTTTAAGATTAATCAGATTTTATCATAAATATACAAATTTTCTTTTTTTAAATCAGAAAAGTAAGATTTCAAATTAAAATTACAAGAGCAATTATTCAAATGCAAGATTTAAATTTAATGTCAAGATGTTTTGTCCATTATGTTGTGCCCATGAAATAACTTGTTCTGGTCTGAGTGTTCTTGGGTGATGGGTATAAAAGTTACTTATTCTTCCACTTGTATAGTGGCTGAGAGTGTATGATATGCAATTTTTGCATTAGAGGTTCACAGTCTAGTCCTAGATTGGCTGATGGAGATTTTACATCTATTTCAGCTTATGTTTAACCCTTTGAGGGTCTGTTCTGTAGTTCTACAGCTTTGAAGCCAGGGTGAGTGCCGTGGTACTACATCATGAGCTCAGTTCACTCAGATAAGCTGTGAGTGGTACATTTGGGCATAGATATGAGAGAATGGGTCTGTGTGGTGAGTGTGCACCATATAAAAAGAATCCTACAGCACATACTGCATAATGAAAAAAAAACTATGCCCATGTTTTTGTATTAGAACAGCAACCTTGTGATGTATTTTCATATGGTTTTTATGGTTGTATTTGCAGTTTTAGTCTCATTTGATAGCATGGAAGACATATTATGGAAATAGAGATGATTTTGATTGGTTTTAGGAATGAAAATAGCTTGAAATTGAGCTCAAAGTAGAGGAAGTGTTCAGTTTTTGCTGATTTTCAAGAGTAAACAAATCACATCACGCATCCAATACATGTCAACTGGTGGGCCTAATGTGCATTCATGAATTCACTGATATTAGTTATACAATTATTGCAATATTGCATAACAGTGTGACTAAAAAATTTCTGTGAATAAAAACTCAAAACGAAATTCATGTGTAAAACCTGGAAATATAACTAATGAACAGAGGAAATGTTATTTTAGTGCTAGGAATGCCTTGCATTGTTTATTCTGGACCTTATTTTGGAAATGGAGTATTTTGAAATTAGTGTGAAATTGGCCAAATTAGCAATTTCTTATCACTTTATTGGGCAGTTGAAATAGTTGATTGGGTGGTTTCTTGTACTCACTTGATAAAATGGAAGGCATACTAGTGAAATAGCTAAGAATTTGGTCAAATGGAACAATATAATTGGCCTAAAATAGAAGTCAAAGTGGGAAAAATCACTGATGCGTAAATATCGCTGACACAGAAAAATTCGTGAAAGTGTAATTTCATCAAATTTTGTACTTTTTGTTTTATTTCCTTCAGAAAAAGATTCTCTATCTTTTCATAAGACAAAATAAAAAAAATTTATGAAAATTCTTGAACCTGATGGACACTTTTCATATTGGGGATCTGGACCCTCAAGGGGTAAGAATTTATAAGCAAACAGTATTTTTCCTTTCATTCAGACAAATCAAGATTTCACAAGTGTATAATTTGACCTTACTACTTAAATTTTACCTTGATCTACTATTATTATTATTATTGGTACTGTGTTTATCCTAAGGTATGTATTTTTCACTGATGCAGGTAGCCATCAATATTAATAACATGGATTATAATACTGTACTGTAATAATAATATTAATACTGCCATTTTTTGTTTTCATCAAGCTGGCCATATCCCACTGAGGCAGGGTGCTTAAAAGAAAAACAAAAGTTTCTCTTCTTAAATTTAGTAATGTATACAGGAGAAGGGGTTACTAGGTCCTTGCTCCCGGCATTTTAGTCGCCTAAGGAGTAAGAATTCTGTGCCACTTCCCCATGGAAATAAGAGGAAATAAACAAGAACAAGAACTAGAAAGAAAACAGCAGAAAACCTAGAGGGGTATGTATATATATGCTTGTACATGTATGTGTAGTGTGACCTAAGTGTAAGTAGTAGTAGCAAGACGTACCTGAAACCTTGCATGTTTATGAGATAGAAAAAAAGACACCAGCAATCCTACCATCATGTAAACCAATTACAGGGTTCCATTTTACACTCACTTGGCAGGACAGTAATGCCTCCCCAGGTGGTTGCTGTCGACCAACCTACTAGCACTTAGGTAATATTGTCATTATCTGCTTAAAAACATTTTATTGTACTGTATAAATAGCTTCCTTCTAACAAGGTGGTTACTCTTCAGGAAGATTTCCAGTACCGATCGTCATATTAGAGTTGGTAATCACATACAAGTATATCATTAGCATAACTATTATGCTAAATAGGTATGGGTGAGTGAGGCAGCACACTGAGTCACTGCATGAGTGGCTTAGGCCGACGATGAGCGGCGTAACCCATGCAGTCTGGCGTGCACCCACACTAGGCGCGAGAATATTCTAAGCCAGGCTGGCTTAAAACACACCACAACACCACAGGGATGGTGTAAGCACTCAGGATGGCTTGGAACTGGAAGCACAAGCGATGGTGAAGGCTGGAACTCATATGGCTTGCCTGAGTACTGGGGTTAATCACCTGGGTTAGCTGAAGGCTTAAACCCTTCACACAGGCTGGCTTGAGAACTTGTAATGATGAGCATAGCAGGGTGGGAAGCTGGCTTAGCAGGCAAGGCTAGGACTGGAGCAGGCTGAGTGGCTTAGAGCTTGGCTCCCCCCACAGACTGGCTTGGCTTAATTTGCAAACCCAGGTCAACCCCTTGGAAGTAATGCAGATAAGCAGATAAGACACTAAGACACAAAGACTGACCAGGAAGTCGTGCAGAGGGGCTGGTGTGCTTGGTCGGGGTAGTTGGCTGTTTAGGCCGCCATGCGGTCAACACACGATGTCCGTTGGCTGGTAGAAGTTAATCTCCATACGTCTGCGTAAATATCAGATTTACTCGACCACCGTTGCCACTATTTGTTGGGAGGGTTCCGTGGAGATATGATGGTTGGAGATAAACACACTTGTTGGGTTGTATACACTTATATTAGCAGAGTTGTGAGGGGAGCCCAGCCTAGCCTGTTGTAGCCTGTAGGTCTGTCCGTGAACTGAGAGAGGGACAGGGTGACTCCCGCTCACAAGCAGCACTGTGTGACGTCACATGTTAGCTGCTAAGCCTAGCAAGGGGTTGTCTATATAATATGTATGGATGGTACTATGATACTCAGCTATGCTACACAACATATACAGGGGATCTGCAACTATGCTGACAGTAAGTCATTCAATAAAATCGGTAAGTCATTCAGTCAAGTCAGTAAGTCATTCAGCCAAGTCAGTAAGTTTTCAGTCAAGTCAATAAATCATTCAGTCAAGTCAGGAAGTCAGTTAGGTCATTCAGCAAGTCAGTCAAGCTCGTATATTCGCCTCTTTCTTTTTAAATGTACGAACTGATGCTTCATTAAGGCCATAGGCCCTCACTATATCCAGCACACATAAGCCACTTTTTTTTTTTTTTTTTTTAACAAGTTGACCATCTCCCACCGAGGCATGGTGACCCAAAAATAAAGAAAATCCCCAAAAAGAAAATACTTTCATCATCATTCAACACTTTCACCTCACTCACACATAATCACTTTTTTTTCAGAGGTGCTCAGAACACAACAGTTTAGAAGCATATACATATAAAGATACACAACATATCCCTCCAAACCGCTAATATCCCGAACCCCTTCTTTAGAGTGCAGGCACTGTACCTCCCATTTCCAGGACTCAAGTCTGGCTATATAAAAATAACTGGTTTCCCTGAATCCCTTCACTAAATATTACCCTGCTCACACTCCAACAAATCATCAGGTCCCAAATACCATTTGTCTCCATTCACTCCTATCAAACACGCTCATGCACGCCTGCTGGAAGTCCAAGCCCCTCGCCCACAAAACCCCCCTTACCCCTTCCTTCCAACCTTTTCGAGGAAGACCCCTACCCTGCCTTCCTTCCTCTACAGATTAATACGCTCTCCATGCCATTCTACTTTGATCCATTCTCTCTAAATGACCAAACCACCTCAACAACCCCTCTTCAGCCCTCTGACTAATACTTTTATTAACTCCACACCTTCTCCTAATTTCCACACTCCGAATTTTCTGCATAATATTTACACCACACATTGCCCTTAGACAGGACATCTCCACTGCCACCAACTGCCTCCTCACTGCTGCATTCACAATCCAAGCTTCACACCCATACAAGAGTGTTGGTACTACTATACTTTCATACATTCCCTTCTTTGCCTCCATAGATAACTTTTTTGTCTCCATATATACCTCAACGCACCACTCGCCTTTTTTCCCTCAACAGTTCTATGATTAACCTCATCCTTCATAAATCCATCTGTCGACACGTCAACTCCCAAGTATCTGAAAACATTCACTTCTTCCATACTCCTCCCCAATTTGATATCCAATTTTTCTTTATCTAAATCATTTGATACCCTCGTCACCTTACTCTTTTCTATGTTCACTTTCAACTTTCTACCTTTACACACACTCCCAAACTCGTCCACTAACCTTTGCAATTTTTCTTTAGAATCTCCCATGAGCACAGTATCATCAGCAAAAAGCAACTGTGTCAATTCCCATTTTGTATTTGATTCCCTATAATTTAATCCCACCCCTCTCCTGAACACCCTAGCATTTACTTCTTTTACAACCCCATCTATAAATATATTAAACAACCATGGTGACATTACACATCCCTGTCTAAGACCTACTTTTACTGGGAAGTAGTCTTCCTCTCTTCTACACACTCTAACCTGTGCCTCACTATCCTCATGAAAACTCTTTACAGCATTTAGCAACTTACCACTTATTCCATATACTTGGAACATCTGCCACATTGCTCCCCTATCCACTCTATCATATGCCTTTTCTAAATCCATAAATGCAATAAAAGCTTCTCTACCTTTATCTAAGTAATGTTCACATATATGCTTCAATGTAAACACTTGATCTACACATTCC